ATTCATTTCATTTTCACTGAATTAATTTAGGGATGAGCTGATTTTCCTCAGGCATAAAGTTCATCTGTACGAACACAGTTTGACTTCTGACTGCACATAAAGACTTCTGGTCCTCATTCTGAACCTTTAAATTGCTGTTTGACGGTTCACATTTTTTGGGTGTATTAGTGTATCACTGTAGTAGTGATGGTTCGGATCTGGTTTTATATGCCTGTTAGCACAAAGAAAATCCATCAGTAATTACTGGTTAAGTAAATCACATGTGGGAACCAAGTAATGTGATCCACTTTTTTGTGCAGCTTATTAGGAAGTTCAGAAAAACACAATAACTTCTTGGTATCCTGCTAAGAAAACCAAACCACAGCTGCACAGAGGCACCACTTATAAAATCATAAACTCTAATAACTGGATTAAATGAGTGAAGTAAGGTCACTAAAATCAGAGTTCCTCTAAGTTAACTGCAGACTTTGTAGACATATTAAAACGTTTAGCTAAGTGTCCCACTAAGTTCTTTCCTTCATTTTATGCTTCCCCTGCTTTTCCATGATGCTGTGACTTTAGAGTGAGAGGATCAAAAAGCAAGGCCCAGTGGAAGATGCATAAGGATTATTCTACCCTGTGAATAACCCGCTGACGTGTAAGTGATCATATGTGCTAACCCTATCTCTAATCCTAACCTGGACTTCGGGAGAGCAGCACCAGGAAATGGCATCAAACAGTCAAACAAACACCAGCATCCCAAATATCTAGATTATTAGATTATATAACACCAACTGTGATAACATTTTTATTTTTGTATGTATTGTTTTACATAGTTTAACAGCATCATTCTCACATCATACAATATTTTATTTACTGTGAAATTTCTCCACATCAGACAACATAAGCTTGGTTATTTAGTCAGCGTCCATCTATTTTTGTGATGTAGGACTCCAAGCATATAGGTCTTTAGTTTAGTTAAGGGTACCACGCACTGACAAAATAGATGTAGGGTTTTGTATGATGTGTCCATCATTGTCTCAAACTTAGATCATTTATTTAGCTTATAAAATAGTTGGAAAACACCCACTGAGTTACAGTTGAACTTCAGGGATGCACCAGAACCTTGCAGCACTTTGTGCTACTGAAGACTAAAAACAAACGCGCTGCTCAACAGAAACTAAATGCATCTATTGCTGAGCTAATAATGCAGGTGAGCGTGTTTTATATAAGTTCCCCAAACATGTATTAGCACACAGCCATCCCTCCTACTCACATACTCACTCAAAAATAGAACCATCCCCTTATCGTCTAACTGCTAACAAGCCTATTTGCCTGTGACTGACGTTGATGTGATCCCTAAAGCCTCGAGCTTGGCACCAGATTGCTTCTAAGCCAAATTAAGCCTCTGTCATGCCCACCCCCACCTTCAGTCTAGTGCTACCCCTGCCATGGGAACCCTAAATCTTTAATGACGACGGAGAGCTCTGCGCGCTCCCACGATACAAAAGCGATGACATCTGTCTCTGTAAGTGCCGCACTCCAGAGCAACCCCATTTGTTCTATCCTCGCTTCTTGAAAATAAATCAAATATAAAAGTTGCAGGAGGGCGGAGGCTGCTAAAAGAGGAAAGAGGAGGTGGAGTTAAGGGGGTTAAAACAAAGATCCTTTCTTTCGGCGGTTTACTCCCCTGCCCCAGTAGTCCCAACATGTTCAAAGAAGGTGTTAAAAACGTTTCAGCTTCCCTTCTTGCACTGGAGCTCTGACAGCAGCCCACCTGCTTACAACTGTTTCCAAGTCAACGGGGACCACACACCTCTAAATATAAATCTGTAAGAGTCAATGTAACTTCAAAATGCTTTGAACACTTTGACCTTTAATCACCCACTACCACTGAATCTAAGTGAAGTTATTTATTATGAAATATAAGAAGCAAACCATGCCAAACAGAAGGAGAAAGAGCATCATTCTACAGATAGATAAAGAATTGGGATTAAGGAAAAAAGAACACATAAAGGAAGCTTTGGGCCAGCACATGCTGTCAAAGCAGCGTGGCACGGACTCTCTAAACTCTGGAACTCTGCTGATGGGATGAACACTATATTTTGAAATTACATTCACTCTTTTGTTCAGGAAGGTTAAAAACTGGTGACGGCAAAGGTTGTGGAATACTTGACTTTTAGATCCTTTTCATGCTCATCAAACCAATCTGTGACTGCTTGTGCTCCACGGATGGGGTCATTGTCATCCTGAAAGAGACTGCTCCCATTAGGAAAGAATAGTGTCATATGATATAAAGGTGATCAGAAGCATCGATGTGGGCGGATCGATCCAAATATCGATAGTATTGATACCAACGCTAGTGTTGGTATGGGAACAATACTTTGCTTTTATCCTCCAAGTTCAGTATTAATTATTTCTTTGGAGAAACTAAACCTCAAACATGCACTATGAAAAATGTCCGAACCTTATTGTGTGCTTTAGTTTATAGACAGAAAGATTTACATTCAAGGTATCCAGAAACCCAGCTGTAAAACACATGAAAAGCTCAAAGGTGTGTTTTTGTTGTGCTAACTAATTATCGTGGAAAATAACAATCACAGTGATGTAGTGGTGTTTAAAATATGTTCAGAATTTGCAAATTCAGAATTCATCAAGACATGGCACACTACTGTCCCCCACATTAGCTGCCTGAATAACTTAAAATCATTGGTACTGATATTGGCAATACCGGCCATGTATTTACTTGGTATTGGATCGAACTGAATCAACGCTCCTTTCTACTAATTTATCAAACTGCTTCCCCATCACACCCCAGCAGTGTGCAAAATCCATGAACTGCCAAGCTTAAGCTCTAACGACTTACAAAATCTTTCAATGAAAATAAACATTCAATTCATTATTTTGACATGTCATAGAAGATATACATGAAATATCACACACACACACACACACACACACACACACACACACACGTCACACGTGGTTAAAAGCTTTATGGTTTTCTGATAAACTTATTTGAAAATGTGAATAATCATAATGGATTTTCTTTTCCCCCACATAAATCCACCACACTGAATTTAGAGATATTCCCCGTCCTTATGTAAGACTTCCGTCTCTAGAATTAGGGGGAGAAAAAGGCCAGCTTTCATTGAACTTAAAGACATTTTATTTTCTCTTCATGCTTCCATAAATATGAATTCCTACTCTCAGAATCAGCAGCACCAGATGCTCATCTCCCTAAAACATCAAACATCTGTTTAATAACAGTGTATGTAACACTGCAGCTGCAACATCACCAGTGTAAAGATTTAAAGGAGTGCTTTGCAGTTTTCCAGCTTTAATCGCTGAGGATCAAATTACACAAATGTCAGCAGGAACTCTTTCAAACCGCTGAGCCACATCAAAATGAGCCCTGCTTCCTTTTGATGCGAGTGTTACTGAAGATGATACAGATGATGCTGAAAAGCAAATACTTCTTTAATAAGATTAATTATGTATTCAATATAATTTATAACAGAATAGTGTTTAGATCAGTTGCATTAATCCTCCCTTAATGCTATCACAAAATCGCATGGTTTAATGTAATTACTATGTAAATGCACTTTTTCATATTTACCATATAATTTCTGTATAATAGTAATTATAAGTGTCATTATCATCATAATCATAATTATTGGGGCAAACTATTGTTGAACTCTGGGGGTTTTGTCAGTGGGTAACACAGCTGACAGAGATTTCTCAGAGACATAGAGCGGGAATAATTTATAATTATTTATTTAGTCAAATAGTTTTCAACACGTTTCTCAGATTTTAATGATTATTTGGAACACTTAAATGACTATAATATGCATGCATGTATCGTGGTGTGTATTTAAACAGATAACTTGAAACAGCACAAAAGAGAAAACAAAATTCTTGTAGCGTACACATTTTCTGCAAAATAAAAGAGAGTTTTTTTTTTCACATTACCCCAGAGTTAAACTTTTTTCTCTGTGTGTATTATTGTAGGGTCCAACTTACGATATAAAGCGTCTTGAGGCGACTGTTGTTGTGATTTGGCGCTGTATAAATAAAACTGAATTGAACTGAATTAAACTGATCACTGCCTGAAGTGAACATTTTTTTTAATTCATAAATTCGACCTGTGTACATGAAATGTACCACTAATTAATAAACTAATTAATAAACTAACATCTATTACACATTGCACATCATCTGCAAGCGACAATAATTTACCACTTACAAGCCTAATTGATCTTTTTATGTGCTGCGAGCATGTGAAATAGATAAGAGCAAAGACTGCCCATTACAATTCTCAACGCACCGGTTTTAATTAGCAGCTATAAAGTCATATAAAGTAAAGGTTTTAAGCTGGAATTTGGCTTTAAAACAACAATGATTTAATAATAAAGGAATTTTCTTGCTAATTAATGCTTCCAACACTTTTCACGACGTTTACTTACGTCATAACGTGTCCTGGAGTGTATGCGTTTAAACTATATTTGTGTCCTAAAAATATCTTGGAAATATATTTGGTGCTGCTATCTTTTCCTTTATGTAATGGCACGTTATAAAAATCCATCCATCCATCCATTCGCTTATCCTTTTCAGGGTCGCGGGGGGCGCTGGAGCCTATCCCAGCTGTCATAGGGCGAGAGGCGGGGTACACCCTGGACAGGTCGCCAGTCTGTCGCAGGGCCAACACACAGGGACAGACAACCATTCGCACTCACATTCACACCTAATGGCAATTTGGATTATCCAATTAACCTGTCCCCACAAGCTGCATGTCTTTGGACGGTGGGAGGAAGCCGGAGTACCCGGAGAGAACCCACGCAAACACGGGGAGAACATGCAAACTCCACACAAGACCCCGGCCTGATGGTGGAATTGAACTCAGGACCTTCTTGCTGTGCAGCAACAGTGCTAACCACCGTGCCGCCCCTACGTTATAAAAACAAACTGCATAAAAAACAAACTACTGTCACATTAAGAATGTAAAAACCACACGGAACGGTCATCTGTCGCATTGAACAGGCACTGCGGTAGGCATCTATGACTTCACTCCGGGTCCTTCTTGTGTTAGAAGAAACATGGCGGCGTCCATGCTGTGCAGGAGGACGGCTGCCTTATGTAGGACTTTAAAGGACTTCTCATCTTGTAAAGCTGTGCTTTCTGTAAACTCTCCGTGTGGATCTTTATCACAAACAGCGTCCTATAATCCCAAACCTCTAAAGCTGAACCTCCGGAACCCGTACATCCCGGACAAGGACAGCGAGAAGACGCCGGAATGGCAGAAGACAGCCCGCTACGATAAGAAGCTGTTCGGTCGGTATGGCTCTGTGTCGGGCATCGATCCTGCATCTCTGTGGCCCACACATGAGGAGCTGGAGAAGATTATTGCGGAGGAAACCCAGTGGCATCCCCCGCTAGAGGTGATGCTGAAGAACATAGAAGCCAGGGAGAAGGAGGAGAGGGAAAAACGGCTGGCGAGGTAAGGCTACATGGCTAACGTCAGTGCGTCCATTATCGGACAACGTCCTCACCAGTGTTTGTCATTCTGTCAAACACGTTTACAGAGTAACTAGCAACACGTTTTCATAGTTCTCTCTTTCAAGCTTTTAAAAAGAGCACTTTTTAAAGCAGGATCTTTAAATAAGCTAATGTAAAATCAAATCGAATTAGAAATTGTATCTAATAAAATAGAAGCTTGTCTTAAGTGTACTGAAGAAGGTAGAGTGGCAGGCTTTAGCTCCCTTCTGTACCAGCGTGGCGGGCCTAATGAATTGTTACCCATTGAAAAGGGTCTGGTTTTAAATGTATAGAGGAAAATGTGTGGACAAATCCAGCTGTCTTCCACCATCCTAAAGAGACATTGAAAGAAAACCTTAGTAAGGTGCTTGGGCTCCACATGTAGTGAGAAACCCTTCAGTGCTCCTTCTTCCAGCTGTAGTAGATGGATATGGGTGTCTTTTTTTTTTATTAGTGGTGAAATGAAGTCCAAAACGTTCCATCTGTGCTGGCCTGTAGTCACTGCAAAAGCCAAACTGTGTGATTTACGTCAATTTCACGTTTCATCACAGGAGGTCCTTCCTTCTCATATGACCCAAACCATGCTAGTAAAATGAGAACTGTGGCATAAGCTTTTGAAAGTGTGAAAAGGCAGGAATGAGAATGAGCACCTCCAAGTCTGAGGCCATGGTTCTTCCCACTCCGAGTTGAGGAGTGGACTTCACCATCCATCTTTACAGTCGAGGACTCGGAGTGGCCCAACTGGAGGAATTAAACAATTTCAGGGTCGTGTTCAGGTGTGAGTGGAGCTGAGCTTAAAAGTTAAGCTGTGGATTTACCTGTCAATCTACATCCTCACACTAGCTTTGGGTAGTGACCGAAACAATGAGATTGTGGATACAAGCAGTGGAAATGAGCTTTCTCTGAAGGGAAGGCTGATGTCTCCCTTAGATATGGGGTGAGGGGTTTGGTCATTTAGGGGAGGCCCAGAGTAGAGCCGCTACTCCACATTGAAAGAAGCCAGCTGAGGTCATTCTGGATTGTGACAAGGATGGCTCCTGGATTCGCTACAGGAGGTAGCTGGAAGAGGGAGGTCTGAGCTTCTCTGCTTCGGCTGCTGATCTGGGCCCAAATAAGTAGAAGAAGATGGATAATTGTGAAGAATCAGAGGCGTGATTGGTTTTCTTTGATCTTGTTTCCCTTGTTTCTGTGGGCAAGTTTAAAAAAATATTATTTTTATTTTTTTTGGAGCTGTAGTAACGGCAGCTTTTTCCTCCATATTGTATGAATGCAGCACATATCAACAGAGAATGGGAATAAAGGGCTCCATGCCGGGGTCAGCTCGTCAGCAAATGTTTAAAGAAGAAGAAACTGAAACACCATCTGGCCCACTGGTCTCATTAGAGTGCAACTTTTTAAAAAAAAACCTTGGCCGCACTCCTTGGATCACATCCAGTTTGTTTCTTTGTTGGATCACATAGCGGAGACCCTGTTTGTGAACTAGTTACTTTAATATGAAAATGTGCTTAATGACTTAATGTTTTCATTTTACAACATATTCCACGCCTTTTGTCATGTTCTTGTCTTGCACATTGAGCTTTTAGCTTAGTCACAGACTGGAAAAGGCTTTTAACTTTCTAGTTCTCTGCATGGATGATGGCGTACTTTGGTTAATCAGAGATCGAGATGTCTTTCATGAGACTCAAGGAAGCTTTAAATGTACACAACCATCCTTGTTAAAACAGACAGGTATGTTATAATTATAATGAGAGTCACCAGCTTGAACATATCTTAAGAAACTTCCCCAGAGTTGATACCATAGACTAGGGCTGCTCGATTATGGCAAAAATGATAATCACGATTATTTTCACTGAAATTGAGATCTCGATTATTTGACGATATTTATTTAACAATAACAATGTGTTGAATAATGACTTTAAAGATTGTCAAAAAATAATATAAAACAGTGCAAATACTGATAACAGTGCAAATGTTTGCAATATAAAAATCAATGAAAAATGTAAACATCTATGTTTAGTGAGCTTTGCAGTGTTGCTCTGTGGTGCAGCTACATTGTAGCAAAGTTTACACACTGTGTCTACTTGATCCACGTCTGACTGAACCCATAATGTTTCCACACCACTGAAGTTTTTTTTTAACCTCTTTTCAACCAACAGCAGTCACTCTCTCCTCTCCAAATAACTTCTGCTTAGCTTTCCGAGCTTCCCTCGGGTCCTCTTAATCAGCGGTCCCCAACCCCCGGGCCTCGGACCGGTACCGGGCCGCGAGCGTTGAGGCTCAGGTGTGAAATGTCTGGTTTTCAGGGTTTTTATCGGTTTTCAGTGTTATTTTGTTATCGCTTTTATCGTTTACTCGGTTTTCCTGGGTCTTTTCATGTGTGTTATGAATAAATCTTTTTTTTCGGTACCGGTACTAGTTTTATTTTGTTGTATTTATCCGCGACACCTTAAAGGCCGGTCCGTGAAAATGTTGTCGGGCATAAACCGGTCTGTGGCGCAAAAAAAGGTTGGAGACCGCTGCTCTTAATTGTTGTGACACGTGTTCGAAATGCAGAGAAGTGCGCTCGATTTGCCACACGGAGCAGCGCGAGAGTAAAGCACGAGGGAGGGGCTAATAATCGGCTCAGTCATTTTTAATGATCGTTGAAAGCCCAGATCGTAATCGAGATTAAAATTCGATTAATTGAGCAGCCCTACCATAGACTGTAAACTAAAGATGCACGAAGCTTTGAAGTTTGAGAAGTGAAGTAAACTTTTTTTTTCCAGGGGTGACTCCTTTGTTTGGAAAATATGTGCATAGGTATAGAAGCCTGTCACTACCCGATCCGTACCGGAAACCCGATCGGTACCCCGCATGCGCGAAAGGTTTCTACTTCCGGTCGTAGCGTTTTACGATAGTTATGGGTCAGAGTAATAACAAGTATATCTTAAAATGTTTGCAATAATGAAGCATTTCAGTACAATGTAGACAAAAACGAAAAATAAAAAGAAAGTTACGGATCAGGACTCTCCGATTCTTACTGCGCATGTGTAAAGTCTGACCGTACAAATCGGGTCTACCCGATCCGTACCGCGCATGTGCAGATGTTTTCTTCTTCTTCTGTTCGTTTAATGGCAGTTTACTCCCCGTGTACGAGGATACCGCCACCTGCTGACCGAGCGAATGAACCCTATTATAAACTGAATTATCGTCATTACAAACGTGTGTTAAATCTGATTTAGCGATAGTCGAGTGTGTTTATGCTCGTCTGCGAGGAGAGGATTGTTGGAATAGTGATGATGATGTGCGCTATCACTGTCAATTGTCAGTAAACACTTAATCTGGCTGATGAATCTACACGTGAGATATTACAAAGTCTGCATTATTAACTGTAATTAGGCGCCATTCTTCTTATTTTACGGCGCTGTTGCTCAATCGGGGGACGCTCTCTGTTGAGGAGAAAAGCATGAATTTCTTTGTATACGGATTATCCATTGTTTAAATGTCCCGGGCAGTCGAAAAGGAGGCAGAGCTGTTGAGAAATGCTAGGAGCTAACTGGGCGCTAACCGTACCATTCAAATATATTGAATGTCGCAATGTTGGCAAAGAGAGGAAGTGACGTAAGATTTGCGCATGCGGGGTACCGATCGGGTTTCCGGTACGGATCGGGTAGTGACATCGCCTGTGGGAAACATGTTGTTCATTTAGCACCATCAGCGGGTATACCTCGTGATTGTGTTGTCACACTGCGAACCTGCAGAGTCCCACAGTGTAACACACAGATCAACGCCTCACTCATCAGATGTGGTTTCAAAACGGCAACAGCACAAATACTCAGCTCAGGGCTTCAAAATGACCTCACTAACCAATGTGAAACATCGCCATCCATCTTTTAGGTCCAGTCTAATCAGTGTAGTCCTAGATGTTCCAAGAAATGCTCAAGTCTCATTCCTTGAATTTGCTGTGGTGGTATCAGCTGTGAACTGACCTCAGCTAAGCATAGCAGCACCTGCACGCAGGCATTCTGATGTCATCATGAGTATAAACCATAGACGGTAATAAAAGACGAGCGTAGCTTCAAGAGCGTGAAGCCAAAGTGTAATAACCTTTAACGTGTATTCTTTTGAATGGCCACCAGATGGTGATACGTATGGCTTTACATTGACTTCTGGTCCTGTACAAGTCTATGGATGAAGGCCTTTCTGTCTTGACTTCTCGAAACACTTTACTGATGGTTTCTGGGCTTACGTGACCAGTTTGTAGTGTACCACAGCTGAATCAACAATTACATTAATCTCTAAGGACAAACTTCTTGAAACTGTAATACTTTTAAACTCATTTAGATTTGTGTGATGGATTAAAGTCCGCAGTTGGTTTTCTGAAGTGTAGCTGTGATATCCAAGTATTGTGGACAAGTTTTTGTTTTCCTTCTTAAAGTTGCACTTTAATAAGACCAGTGGGCCAGATGGAGTTTCAGTTTTTCTTCTTCAAACATTTGCTGACGAGCTGACCCCCGGCACAAAGCCCTTTATTCCCATTCTCTGTTCCATTCATGCAATATGGAGGAAAAAGCTGCCATTATGTTAACACAAATACAGCTTTACACTTCTCACTTTCAGAAAAGTGAAACAGTTTGATCCAAAACTCCTTCTTCATTGACGGCTTTCTTTGTGTTAGCTGGTTTAACAAAACTCCTGGATGGAGTTGGAGACTGTGACACATCATCTGGCTCTTCCTCCAGACAAATTGAATCAGTCGAGTGCCTCTTATTTCAGTTAGAGACACACTGAGAGGAATTAGTGAACATTAAACAGTCCCATAGCTTAATAAAGGACATGTGGAAGTTTAGTCTCCAGATCAATTTAATTGGCATTCTTGGTGATGGATAGCAAATGTAACTGATCAGTTTTCTAATCTGTGTCCGAGTCGCTGTAGTTCCAGCTGTGCAAAAGACTGCTGGAACTACAGAGGGATCAAACATAAAAGCAAATTCCAGTGACAATAACACAGTTTGCACTGCTTTAACGTTGCAGCTGGGCTTCATTCAGCAGTGTTGGGAGGGGACAGCTCGACAGTTTGCATGTGCAAAGTGGAGGAGAGGACCTATATCGCACACAAAACAGACTGTAGACTTAATAAATGGTGAAAACGTGGCGCTTCCAGCTGATTTTAAACACACACTCCAAACATAAACTGTTCTGGACCAAGTTATGTTCTCAGCACAAGTTACCATGGTGATTTAGCCAGGTAAAAAGAAAGCTACTTAAGCTTAAAGCTTAGGCATCGTTTTATTAGCTTATTGCTTTGGAGTATGTCCACAGGTCCGTTGTTTACCGTTGCCGCTTCCCTTGAAACTAGTATGTCAGACAAAGTTGATCTGAGGCTGATGTTTGTGTTTGTGTTGTTGTTGTTTTGTTTTTCAGGGTTTTTGAAAAAGTTTTATTTTGATGGGCTAACCTTAAGATTAATCACTGTATTTGGTGTATATCCAGATACCATGGATGGCATTACCTTGGCCTCCCGTAACACTGAGGAATCTTGCAGTCAGTTTGACCAGGACACGTCCTTCAGCACGCATATTAAACAAATGTGTAGGACTGCTTTCTTTCATCTGTGCAGTATCTCTAAAATTAGAAACATCCTGTCTGAGAGTGATGCTGAAAAACTAGTTTACGCATTTGTTACTTTTAGGTTGGACAAATTAATTTATTATTATCAGGTTGTTCTAAAAAGTTCCCTTGAAAGCCTTCAGTTAATCTAAAACACTGCAGGAGCGTACTGACAGCACCGGCCTTCTGCTTGACCATTTCTGATTTGCATAAAAATGTTATGGCTAAATTTGAACTTGTATATTGACTTTCAGATGGTTTTTTTCACAGTCCTTGAAATTTTAGGCCATATTTGGACATCAATATCTCCAAAAACGATTAAAGTTAAAAACTCAGCATTTTCACTGGTCTTTCCTAACATTAAATTGAATTAGGATTTCTAGTTTAGGGTAGATACATCAAAAATGTTTGTGTTGACTAGTTAAAATATGAAAAAAGAAAACGAAACTGAAAGAATGAAATACTGGAGTTTCCAGATGGTACTGTAATTATAACTGAGAACATAATTTCTTAAATATATGTATACGTTTCATTTTTGAGAGCTACTGCCCTGCAGGAGTCTAATTCAGGTGGCAGTGTAAAAACTTTGGCTACATTTATTTTTATGTATTAAACGAGTCATGCAAACAGGATGATTTCACAGGAGTAGTCTTGCGAGGTCAAGCTGTGGTGTCTAAATGGCCGAACTGGTAATCTGACACAAGATGCTAACCTAATGTCACGACTGCTGCAGGCAAGCAGGGATCAGACGGTCGGTGTGTTGACTGTCTGAGTGTTGCAACAATTGTAATACATAAATAAAAATGCTACATTGTTGCATTTTAATATCTCTTTGTACATTTCAAACTAAACCTGAATTATTAGTCAGCTCCAGGGCACTAGGTCTTGAAATGATAGGTAGAGTAGGACTTGAAAATGAAAAATCTGAACAAATTTCTTATCTTAGTTAAAATCAAAATACCATCTGGAAACTCAAATTTTGTTCTGTTCAGATAATAATACCTACTGATATTTTTGTGGCATGACTAATATCTGCTCCATCCAGCATGAAAATACCATTTTCTTCATTTTTTTTACTAAGAATTTCACGTTAAACTATTCTGCATGCTTTGTTACACTGTTTATTACAACTACATATGATTCAGAAATAGTCTTTTGCAATATGGCATATTTTTATTAGTGTGTGCTCAAATTTAGACTTTGCAGGAACACTTGATTCTTTTTAAATGAAATTAAAATTCAGACACTGAAGACACCGGAGATTAAAGACCCTGATTTAGGGCAATGAAAAGTTCAGCCTTTTATCTTTTAAGTGTTTAGGATATCCATCCATCCAATTGCTTCCGCTTATACTTTTCAGGGTCGCAGGGGGTGCTGGAGCCTATCCCAGCTGGCATAGGGCGAGAGGCGGGGTACACCGCAGCACGGTGGTTAGCACTGTTGCTGCACAGCAAGAAGGTCCTGAGTTCAATTCCACCATCAGGCCGGGGCCTTTCTGTGTGGAGTTTGCATGTTCTCCCCGTGTTTGCGTGGGTTCCCTCCGGGTACTCCGGCTTCCTCCCACCGTCCAAAGACATGCAGCTTGTGGGGATAGGTTAACTGATTAATCCAAATTGTCCACAGATGTGAATGCGCGAGTGAATGTGTTTAGGATATTCGTCTTCAAACATTGAATCAGATGTAGGGAAAAATGGTGTGGAGGGTTAGCAAAGAGACCTTTTTTAAAAAAAAGATGTAGATCTTGAAAAGTATTCAGTACAGGAAACTAAATTTCACAGCAGTCATACTACGTGTTCAAAGTTTGGACCATTAATTATTTACTTTAGGCAAATGGCACAGTTGATCAGAAAACCTTTAAAGACATTTGCTGTCTTGAGATGGATGATTGCAGTTTTTCCCTTTGTTTCTGTCGGAGGCTTCTTCCTGTTAGAGGGAGTTTTTCCTTCCCACCATTGCAAAGTGCTTGATTGTTGGGCACCGTTCACCTTACAGTGTGAAGCAACTTGAGACTGTTGTGTTTTGGAATCGGAAGTTATGTTAAGTTCTTCTGACATGAGTGCTTGTACCAAATTTACTGTAAAAACCACGATATTCACGCCAGGACATTTCTCTCAAAATCAATGTTAATTACCAGCCAGTATGATGGACAGCACTAACATCTGCTATCTTTTCTATTTTCACCGCAGAGAGAAGCTCATTGCCGCAAACATGGCCAAAATGCCCAAGATGATAGCAGACTGGCGCAGAGAAAAGCGTGAAACCAAACAGAAGCTAAAGGAGGAAAAGGCTCGCCGTACAAGGTTGCTGGCTGAGGCCAGAGAGCGTTTTGGCTATGCAGTGGACCCCCGCAGCCCCAAGTTCTTGGAAATGGTTGCTGAAATAGAAAAGGAAGAGAAGAAGAAGAAGAAACTAATGAAACGCAGACTGAGAGAGGAACAGGCAACAGGCTCCGATGCACCTCCTGCTGCCTCCTCATAGTCTTGGACCGAGTCGTTAAAGACGTAAATAACTGTTGGGCCTGGGTCAGATTGTGTTTGATAGTTTAAGGTGTGCTGTGTAGTACAGTTCAATGGAACCGTTCAAATGGCTAAAAATAAGTTTTGTCCTTCTGTGAAGATGTGACGATTCCAACTTTCAACTTAGTTTTTCAGGACTGCTCCAGATAAATACAACCTCTGCACAGATGGTGTGGGTGTGTTTAAAACATGACACGAGGCCAAGTTCAGCAATTTTCATGATTGCAGATATCCATGAGAACAATTTATTTATACAAAAATAATTTTTACACTCAAGTTTTCTGAAAAGCGCACGTCGTGTCTCGGCACCGACGCGCTGAGTGTGAACAGCAGTAAGCCGTAGTTTAGCCTCACTGGCTCTGCCGTGCTCTTATGCTGCACCCGTACAGAATGGGCGCGCAGTGCACGAGCCAGTCCTCCTTCATGCTCGTTATCTTTGTCTAAAATATGTTTGTGCAGCTGCACATGAAATGCTCTAGCCATCTCAACACCTCATACACTACCAAACCTGTGGCAGTAGCAGCGTCTAACCCTGTAAGGTCCAAGTTCTCATCGGTGATGATGAAGTAACACCAACCCAAACTCGCTGGTGGGGAAAAATAAAAACTTTGAGGGTAAATTAAAGTTTTTGTGTGTCTGTAGGAATGCAGAATTTTAAAAAAAGTCCACATTTGGGAGAAGCATTACTTTCAGAAGCCAAATATATTTTAATGTGTTAGGGTTCGTAGTACTTAGACGTCACGGGAGTGACTACTGCATATTACACAGAGCTCTTTTAGAACAGTAAAATAAATTCATTGCATTTCATTAGGTTTTCATTCTATTAAATATTTCTCGTGGCTTCCAATTGCTTAAGATTTGGTGTTTATCAGTGTAAACAATAAAACCATGGCCTATAAGTGTGTGTTAACCTGTGGCAGGTGGTGAAATTAAAGGTCCCTCAGCGGTGCCTCACTGACAAATATTCTACAGATTACACCTTTGTCCAGCTTAAATTGTGGAGTGTATATGATCACACAAAGGTAAACCTGACCACAGCAATACCATACCCAGTGTACTCTTGTTGAAAAAGGCACTTTGGTCAAAAACTGAAGTAGCTGTAACTGTGAGGGGAATCGGAGACTCCAGCGGAAGGAGCCCGAGCAGTCTTAGAGGTGGGTGTCATCATCCTCACCGGGATCAGCCTTGAGTTTGGCAAGAGCAGCGTGCACCCTGAACTGTGTGCGAGACTCCATGGAGTAGTCTTTGTAGTTGTGCCTGTAAGTCAGAACAGCAGACGTGGTAAAGGCGTGTCCTGCAATGAAACTTAACTTGCCATACACATTATATGCTGCTGTTGGATGCACGTTTCTAAAGTACAAGCAGATGGATGAGAAATGGATAAAAGTGTTTGGCATCGGCACCCTTAAAGAGGATCACGCTTGAAGAGCTGGAGTCATTATCAGCTAATGGATCGTACATGTTTACACAGGGATAGGGTGACCTCTAGTGTTCCCTACAGTTGCTAACAACCATTTTACTGCAGTCCTATTTAACCCCTAAAAAACATCATTTTCCTAATTTTGCATTTCAGGATTCTGTGAGTTTTACAAGTACACTAATGTTGTTTACTTTTGGATACACACGAGCTGTTTCGTAGTGCTTCGATTTTACACTACGCCAAGATAACGGCTTAAGAGTTGGGAGTTCGCCTTGTAATCGGAAGGTTGCCGGTTCGAGCCCTGGCTTGGACAGTCTTGGTCGTTGTGTCCTTGGGCAAGACACTTCACCCGTTGCCTACTGGTGGTGGTCAGAGGGCCCGGTGGCGCCAGTGTCCGGCAGCCTCACCTCTGTCAGTGCGCCCCAGGGTGGCTGTGGCTACAATGTAGCTGCCATCACCAGTGTGTGAATGTGTGTGTGAATGGGTGGATGACTGGTTGTGTAAAGCGCTTTGGGGTCCTTAGGGACTAGAAAAGCGCTATATAAATACAGGCCATTTACCATTTACAGGCCATAACCTATCAACTACAATACTAACACACCATAAAATAAAATAACAAAACCACTTGTTATAACCAAAGTATGCAGAAGAGCATCTCTGAACACACATGGTGTTGAAGCTCGATGCAGATGGACTACAACGGCAGAAGACCACACTGGGTTGCCACTCCTGTCAGCTAGTCTTGAGTTCACATGAGCTCGTTGAAGCTGAACAATAGCAGATCGGAATAAAGTTGCCTGGTATGATGAGTCTCGACTTCTTGTACAGCGTTCAGGTGGGGTCACGTTTGGTATAAACAACATGAAAGCATGGATCCACCCTGCCTTGTATTAACAGTTCAGGCTGATTGTGAGATAATTTTGCTGGGGATATTATCTTGGCACACTGTGCCCAGTCCTTTATGACTGCTACGTACCCACTATCATGACAACCCAAGGTGTACCTAATGAACTGACCAGCGAGTGTATACCTAATTTTGTTTTGTGGTGCAGCATGCCAGCACTTTAAACTTCCGTCCAACTAATTAGTGTCATTTACTACTCATTTACATTCCATTGGCACTAAAGTGAAGCTGGGCTCATCATCTGCTCAGACTGAACTCAAATGGAAGCAAAAACGCGTGGCTATGTGAGGCACACTATGTGGGCTTGTTCAGTTGAAAGCCAGCTGAATAAGGTTCTAGCTCCCTGCCAGTGCCGCTAAAATGGTAGAAAAGTAGTGCAAACTTTTATATTCAAAACAGAATGCTGCAGTCTCACAATAATATGGAGAGTGAAGACTGAAGGAGTAACTTACTTGGCCTTGTGCAGTATTTTAATAGCTTCATCCCTTCTGCCTTGGTCTATGTAAAGCAGACTGAGCTCCACGAGACAGTTGGGCACCAAGTAGTGGTCAAACCTGATCTTCTTTTCACTGCAATAAGAAGCGAGTTAAATATTCATTCAACACGGACATTCATTTAAGACATAGGCTATGATGTTGATCCTGCACTGTACTCAATGTGGCATCCTTGGGAAGGCTGAGGGTTGTGCTGCAGGTGGCTGACCAATTTGGTGAATAAACAAACGTCTCTCATGAGGACTGTCAGTGTAATTTAAGCTGGAAGTCCTTCTTGATTGCCACGCAAATATTCACACTGTGACGTAGTGAGATGAGAGTTTTATGGCTGCAAAACAAACAGGGCACTGAAAGGACGTCCAATGAAGAGTTACCCTGATACGTTTTAAAAGGAAGACCTGCAGAATTTATGCAATGTTTGGAAAATCAGAGAAAACACTGATGTAAAAAGCTTGTATTACAGGTTTTAGTAGAAGAAAGTAGTAAGATTCTGAAGTACTCCCTCTTCTGCCACTAATTCAAGAAAACACAGTGTGTTAACCAGTGTTGCCAAAAAAAACGTTGCAATGAAAGGCTGATATTCATTTGTTCACACAAGATTAATTGATTCTGAAGAAACTGCTTTCACTGTGAGCAGGAAATAACTTGCCTGCGTTTGAAACTCTGCTAGAGCTCACCTGGAACACACTTTGTTAAAGCACTCCTCAGCAGCCTGGAGGAGGCCTTGATTCTTCAAACAAAGGCCCTTCAACATGTGGATCACACAGCGGTCGTCCACTGTGTACTCGTTTACTGCAGGGGACGGAGCAGACACCATGAGCAAACATGAAAAACTGCGTGTTCCTGTTTCACAGTTTGGAAAAGGGCAGCAATACCAGGAGCTTCCAGTAGAGAGCGCTCTGCCTCCACCAACGTCTGCATCATGCCTTCAGTTAGCTCTGGTGTCTTGTTGATCATACTGAATCCATTCCACATGTACATCATTTCCTGTAATGAAGCAGTTCATATTGTTGGGACGCTCTTTTAATCAAACATAGCAGTCGTTATATGTGTTTATTTTATTTCGTAACTCTTACCAGCACTGGTACAGGTAACCTGACTGGGAGGGCAGCCTTGTAGCGTCTGGCTTTACGAATTGCAAACTTCTCCGTTGGAGGAGACTTCCCCGCTATCTTCTGCTTCAAGGTGGGCACTTGTCTAAAATGACAGGGGATATACAAAGACACACCAACGAATGATTCAGTTACTAAGTACACCATGTGACTGTTTGGCATCGTAGTGAGTGTAGGCTGTTACTCTGCTGTTTACCTCAGCTGTCAATATGTGTCCGTGTCTATTTATTGTAAAGTAGGCTACAAGACTTTGTGAAAGGATAAAAATCGACTGACCAGCGAAGCTCACTTCTTTCCAGTGACTGCGATACGGAGGTGAGTTACTGAGGGCTACCACTATTAGCCGCTGTTAGCTGCTGTTAGTTAGTGTTAGGGTTGCCAACCGTCCCTTAAAATACGGAATCGTCCCGTATTTAGAAACAAAAGCACACGTCCCGTATTGAGCTAATAAGGGACGCACTTTGTCCCGTAATACAGTGAGAATCAAAAGTAGTCTATAAATGTTAATGGAATTAACGCTTTGTTTGAAAACATAATTCCAAGCCCCTCTCCTGCTTTGTGACCAATGAGCTGACAGCACACTTACGAGTATGACAATTCAGATTACCACTCATCTCATTGGTCGAGGAAAGGTCGCTTACGGAGAAAATACCGGAAGACAACAAATGACCACAACAACAAGCATGGCCAACAGGGAAACAAACGCCGACACTGCGGTGCAAGTCTCGGATGACAGTACACCTAAAGCTGGGCAGACACTGTGCGATTTTTTTCAGTCACGTTATTCAGCTCCTGCTCAAACTGCACGATTGACTCGCAGGGGTTAGAAGTTGGTAGGTCACGATGCAGGTCTCACACTATACGGCCCGATGCTCTGATGCGACCTGAGTGCTCACACTGTGCCTCCATAACATGAAGGTTATAACAGAAAATCTGTCACTCTCTCTCTCTGTCTTTCACTCACACAGACACACCACCACCATCAACTTTGCTAAATTGCTAATGAAAAACATGATCAGGCAGCTGTGATTGAGCAGCGATGTAGATCCAACTATTTTCACGGTTGTTGTGGTCGTGATAATTTTGTGATGCCACATCGAAAAGGCTCGGATGAGCTTTCCAAAGTTCTACAAGTTGTGCCTCCATCGCTTGTGTCCAGATCACACGCTGCACAGCCGTGCTGCTCCATCTTTTACACCAACGTTTACGTGTTTGCGCGTGAGCAGTGTGAGCGTCTGTGGTGACACCCTCACGAGCGATTGATGATCGGGAGCTGGTCGTGAGGTGTTAATCACTTCTCGTTACCCCACGTATACTACACGACGCACGATGAAGGCCAAAATCGGTCCGATCACTCAAAAATCGGCTCAAAATGGGCCTAAAACCGCACAGTGTGAGCCCAGCATTAGAGCAGCAATGTTTGTTCCCCTCAGAGAAAGGGAAGAATGGGAAAAGGAAAACACCTGGCTGGAAAAAGTTAATATGGGCATGTGCAGTGAATATCAGCGCTATGTGGCCAGAAGTGTGATAATATAATTTATTTTGTGTAATAAACAACTGCAAGGATAGATGATTACAACAAATAGATGACTAATACATAAAAGTAATACATAGATGAATAATGATGATGAGTTAA